TTGACAAGACTATGTCTTGTTTATAAAATCATACTGCCATTTTATGTTACCAGCATAGAGGTATGAAGGTTAATGTATTGAAGAGAGTAATAGAAAATAAATGGTAAAAAACAGAAAAGGAAATAAAAATGGAAACATAATCAGACTCTGTAAGTATTTTCTGAATGTTGGTAATAGACTCAAAAATATTAAATACTGTTTATCATAAATTGAGAATACAAACTGGAAATGCTTGATCAGATAGTTTGACATCCCTGGAACAGGGCTGTCAATTTGCCTGAAAATATTCTCTCATCTTTTGATAGATTGGAATAAAAAAAAGATCTCTTGTTAATATTGTATATCAATGATCAGTTTGGTTGTTTTAAATATTGAATTTCTTTTTTTGGCGTAAGAAATCTGTTCTTTACATCACACTAAAACTTTAAACCAAAATGTTGATTTAATTTTATTTCAAGTGAAAGTAATATTGCTAACAAATTAACATAATTATTGAATCTAAATGAACTGTCATATTATAGCCTGCTAATTTTGGCAGTCGTTTGGCTTTAACTAAAAGTCAGGTGTGAGTGGATGCTCATATAAATATATAATTATTGAATCTCTATTTATAAGCAATTCATATTTTGTGTTTCATTCAGCATACTCTATACAGTTGACCCCCCTGTCTATAAAGGCATCACTATTGCAACACTACAACAGCAGTGTAATAAAGATGTTTCACAAACTTTTGTCATTTCTAAACTATTGCAGAGAGGATATTTGAGTAACATCATGTTTATGCAAGACTATAAGATTCCATATCATAGTCATTGTGAGAGACATACTGTCTAACACATTTGGCAATGAAAGAGTGATTAGTCAGTCTTTTTCAATGCAAACACCTGCTTAGTCCCCAGATCTCATATCTTGTAACTTCTGGTTTTATGAGTCTGTTTGAAAAGCAGGGATTTTACTGGCAGAGTTGCAGATTTATGACAACTAAAGAGTTAAATTGAAAGACAAAGGAATCTTATTAGTCTTGCCATGTTACACTTGGCTGTTGTTAATGTGATAACTGGATTGCAATATGTAAGTGAGAATGGTGAAAGCATGTTGAACAGTTTCTTTGATGCTGCTGACAATGGCACCATTGCAGATCCATAGCAGTGAAAATTGTAACTATTTTTTGAAACTGATTAGTTTCCCTTGTCAAGACTTACTGCCTACAAAATTTTATTGATTTATTTTTAACAACTTTGTCTCCAGCATAATCTAAACAGGTATTATCTAATTATTGACAACCTGTATTAGAATTCTTTTTACATTTTATTTTAAAAAATTTCAATTTACATATATGTTTATAAATACTCAGTTTGCTTTTGTTTTGATTACAAAACAAAAGCAAACTGAGAATAATTTTCATTTGAAAGAAATAAACAAGCATGAATGTAATCTTCATATTTTATTTACATTGTTTAGTTCTTCAAGGCATTTACAGAATGAAAATTGTGATATAAATTGAAAGTTAAATTAACAATTACAAAATACTATAACATAAGTTACTAATAGAGTTATTTTTAGAACATTAAATATTATGTATTAATAATATATTACAACATTTAATTAATTAATTAAGCAAGTGATGTGAAATTTTTATCTTTAAATGATAAAAATTTTACATCACTTTAAAAGAGTATTGAAGTTTCATAATTAAAATAAATATTTTTTTGAAAAAATGATATTGTAAATATAAAAATTTATAAATACAGTATAATTTTATAATTATTTTAAAAAGAAAGAAAGAAAAATTGTGAAAATAAGGAAGAAGAACAGAAGACATAAAATAAATAATAATTTCTTTTGATCTACGTTTAACTAATTGAATATAACTTAATGTATTGAAGAGAGTAATAGAAAATAAATGGTAAAAAACAGAAAAGGAAATAAAAATGGAAACATAATCAGACTCTGTAAGTATTTTCTGAATGTTGGTAATAGACTCAAAAATATTAAATACTGTTTATCATAAATTGAGAATACAAACTGGAAATGCTTGATCAGATAGTTTGACATCCCTGGAACAGGGCTGTCAATTTGCCTGAAAATATTCTCTCATCTTTTGATAGATTGGAATAAAAAAAAGATCTCTTGTTAATATTGTATATCAATGATCAGTTTGGTTGTTTTAAATATTGAATTTCTTTTTTTGGCGTAAGAAATCTGTTCTTTACATCACACTAAAACTTTAAACCAAAATGTTGATTTAATTTTATTTCAAGTGAAAGTAATATTGCTAACAAATTAACATAATTATTGAATCTAAATGAACTGTCATATTATAGCCTGCTAATTTTGGCAGTCGTTTGGCTTTAACTAAAAGTCAGGTGTGAGTGGATGCTCATATAAATATATAATTATTGAATCTCTATTTATAAGCAATTCATATTTTGTGTTTCATTCAGCATACTCTATACAGTTGACCCCCCTATAATGCAGTAGATACGTTCCACTTTATAAGAATTTTGCGTTGTAGGAATCCTTAAATACATGAGCCAATCACAGCCCAGCACCTGTGCAGTTTACGGACTACGGCTGTTTGAAAGGTTTTCTTCCATAAAATTAATCGATTCTAGACTAATTTGACTCAACATTTCCAAAGCACGTATAAACTATGCTATAAACAAAAAATTGTAGGATTACTTACCGAGTGTGCACCGTTCGACAACGCCATTGCTTAAGCTTGTTTTCATCACGGAGCAGCGCACCAAACGGTGGGCACGTTTTCTGATAAGTTATTTTTCTGCGAAAAATTCGTTGAACTTTGGAGACATCATTAATAGAAATAATTTTTATGGCCGTTGAATAAGAAATGTTTTTTCACAAGAAATGTATAAAATTACAGTACTGTATTAGATTTACAGTACCTAATTTATACACTGTACAGATGATAGTAAACTCAACTTACCCGCCTAAACTCTCTGTAGCGTGAAAGTAGTTCGGCTGCTCGTCAGATTCGACCAATCCTGTCATGACATGAGTCGGCAATGACGTTTTACTGCATTTTACGAGTCTCTTTTAGTGTCTTTATACGAATATGGTTGCAATTTTTTCGCCGTGATATACAAATCCGCATTACATGAACCCGCGTTATAGGGGTCTACTGTAATTTTAAAGATGTCAGTCTTTAACACCAATCAAATGTTTATTGATTATGTCTCATCCTCAGGTAGAAAGCTGTTTAACTAGCTACCTTATCAAAAAACAATAAAAAAATTGTATATTTAAAAACTAGTTCCTACGGTTGTTTAATAAGACAGCAAGGGAAGCTGCTTTTAATTGAATGATAAAACATATCTTAAAAAAATGTTTTATCAGTGTTAAAGACTGACTTCTTTGAAGTTACAGCATAAATTGAATGAAGCATGAAATAATTAATGAATTAAATTAGTCAAGATATTTAATAATAGATTTAAATTCTTTTAAATATGTATTCTAGAAAGATAAAGAAAACACTGAAGCTGTAAAAGAAAAGCATAAAAAAACAAGAGCAAAATGGAAAGAATCATTGAGTTTGGTTCTAAAAGTAAGTTATTTTTATTTCAATTTATCTGTTAATGTTTAGTGAATAATTATGTCACAAAACATCATTAAATCAATTATTCAAATTTATATTTGTAGGATAGTGAACGTGGAGTAGTTTCTGAAGAAGCAGCTTATGATTTTTTCACTCGAATATGGGAATCTGAAGAACCAAGCTTTACATCTGCTCCATTGAATGATGATACAACAGAAGATGCACATTCTAGCAAAAGACAACCTGATATTTTAGATGAATCTGAAAAAATTGAAGAATTAACTGAAAGAGCTACAGATGGTAATTGTTAATTTGCTATTAATTTGTGAAAATTTTTTTTTTTCATTTATATGAAATTGTATTAAATAGATTGTTAAAAAATAATATATGTTTAAAAAGAATTTGGAATGATAGGAAACTATATGCTGTTTAATGAATATTTCTCTGCAAAATAAAATTATTTTTTAGAGAAATATTCTTTACCAGTGTTTATATACAAATTCATCGTTTGATAATCTGAAACCGTGTCATTATTCTTATTAATCACACTACATAGTGTTTAACAACAAATATAAATTCATGTAATTTTGTAACATGAACAATATCAGCTTGACTGTAATATATTCTTAAAATTTCTGTTTCATGTGAATGATATAAAAACAAAAATTTGATTATTTGAAATGTTTATTTCATTCATAAAAAATAATCAGTATCATATTTAAGTATATAAATTATTGTGTTGTTGACAAGACTATGTCTTGTTTATAAAATCATACTGCCATTTTATGTTACCAGCATAGAGGTATGAAGGAGTACATGTCGAGAGTTGATATTTGGCACAGAGTATTAGGTGCTGAAATCATTTGTGCATAAAAATATCCAGACTTGTAGGTAGTCAGGGGACTGAGAACTGAGTCAAAATAAAATACAAAATGGCAAACCTCTTCTACAAACAGGCAAAACGGGCACCTCACCCCACTGAAGTAGGTGGGGGAGAGTACCACCCACAGTCATTTTAAGAAGTGAACTCTGACCTTAGGAGTGAACACAAAGTTTCTTCTATATTAAATAAAATTTGTAATCTAATTTTGTAAATTTGGGAGTGCTTCAAATATGACATTAAAACAGGGTGTTGTTACAAGTAGGTTTTTTAACATTATCTACTATAGTAAAATCGTGAGACTGATAAAAATTTGACGTTATATTAGGGTTGTCGTTACATCCAATGACATTATAATCGGGTTAAACTGTATATTGTTTGTGCAAAATTAAAAAAATAATTTCAGATGATACAATAGTCACGATTATTTTTTTCAAAAAAGGGGAAATTTTCGTTACACATTGACAAAAATTCAACCTGGACCGACACGCAACAGAGAGAAATTTTGAAATTGGATAGGTTAATTTCATCGAAAATGCATCGTGGACGACCTCGTGGTTGTGGCTGGCAAAGTTTGAATGATTGCGCCCAAAAGCAGCGATACCAAAGAAGTTTGGAGAATGAGAATGCAACCCGCCTTGAGCATCAAAGTGATTCTGCTTAGTAGTGAGTCTCTGAGACATAGTCTTGTCCCAAATACAGTTTTGCTGTTTTACTTGTTTTTTTTACTGTTGCTTGTATATTTCTGAAATAATTTTGTGAATAAGGTTTATTAGACTAAATAAAATTAACTTTAAGTTCAACTTGTAATATTCATCTTTTGTTAATAGTATAGGTTAAGAAAGACTATTTACCTATTTAAAATTTAAATAGGTAAATTTCACTCTTAATTTATTAAAATAACATAAAATTGACTTTGGTGACAATGATGACATTATCATTCTGCCCTATATTTTCTCACACAAATTCTTAACAGATTTGTTTAGCTGCATACACTTTAGATGATTTTCCAGTTTTCAATCCCACATCATATCTTTGATGACTTGTCTGTCACTAAAGAAAGTTTGATTTTTAGCCAGATTAATTGCCTTAAGTCAAGTCATAAAATAAGCTAGTTGTTCATATAAAATACTATTGTTATTCAGGAGTTTTCAAATTTCAGTTATTTCAAGACACTACAGTTTTTATTATGTTGTATTGAACCAAATAATAATTTATTTTCCTTGATCATTAGCTGCTTCTTTGAAAATTAAGAATTTTTAAATTACAAAAAATTAATTTTTGTGGTTTTATATTTTCATATAAATGTTTATTTATATGAGATTTAATTAAATAACAGTTAAACTTTTATGCAAATTTTTTAAAGAGAAAGATATCATTTTTTCTGTAGAAAATTAATAATTTATATTAACAAATTAAATTGTGTACTTATAAAAAAAATTGTTTGTTAAAATGAAAAAGTTTGCATTCCAAGTTTGCAAAAATTTCTATTTTAATAAGAAATTCAGAAATAATTAAATATTTAGAAATTAATTCAATTCAAAATACTATAATAACAATACTAATAAATATAATTATATTTTAGAAACCCATCTTTTAATAGAAGATTACTTTCAAACTGAAGCAGATAAATACATTCCAGTACAGAGGAAGGCAATCTACATTCCTAGTAATGAGCAAATCGAAGTAGAAAATAAAATATATTTTTATCCTGTTGCTAAATCAGGTAAAATTTAAACTTTAAAATAATTAAAATAAATACATAAACATCACGAAACCCAATAAATTTGTAAAGCCAAACAAATACTGGATTACATTGGGTTACTTTTTGCAATTGTATTTAATTAATTACTAAATAATTTGTCATTAGAGGTAGATCTTTTATTAAATTTACGGAAAAGTAGCCCAATGTAATCCAGTAATGTAAAATAAAAAACTTGCTTTTATTTTTTTTTAAGTATAAATTTATATCAAGCCATATTAATTTAATTTATTTAGCTTTGGTTATTAATTTATTTTTGTACTTGTACTATGAGTTAAAAGGACAACTATTATTTTAAATATAAGCTTTATGTTATGTGTATTTGTTTTATCTTAAATAATTGTAATACAATTGTAATTGAGAAAGTGAGTTATTGCAATTAAAACCGGAGTTATTGTGCTGAATTGACCAAGAAATTAGATAATTGTGAAAGGATCTTGGCTTTCTCAATAATTATGATTATTAAATTGTCATTTTCTAAATTTGGTGAAACAGCTACAGAAAAGATTATTTCTATAAATATAAGAAGCATTTTTCAAATTTTGTGATGTGCAATTTTTATTTATTTTGTGCCAAATCTTACATATTTTTTCTTTTAAATGCACATATGAAAAAATTTTTCAGTTCATTGAGAATTATAATTTTGATGAACTTCAGTTATTGAAGAAATCAGCACATTTTTAGCCATTGACTCATTTGGTGGTCAGATGTTTCTGCATGAGAATAATTTGGCAAATATTGATATAACTTAAAACATACTATAAGCATACTTCTAATTTCATAGACAAACAGCATTCAATATTGCTGCTTCTGATGATTATTATGTCAAATAACAAAACACAGGTTAATATTTGAAAAATAAATTAAATATTTATTTAACTGTAACTCAAAAGATTGCATTGTTATATAAAAATTTTATTGAAGTAATAGTATAATTTTCATCTTTGCAATTTCATGTATGTCTTTTATTTAAATGCAGTAAAATATGACAAGGAGAACTTTACAAAATAGTTAAATATAAATTATTATAGAATATAAATTTCATGTTTTTAATTGCACTAAATGTTTTTCTTAAAATTGCTGTAAATATCAATACAGTAGAGCATTGATTATCCGACCCCCCAATTAACTGTCACATCAGTTAACCGATCGTTCTAGTTGGCAAATTTCAAGTGTCTACTAGTGATGTGGCGCTACAATATTTGGCTATGTCTTGGCTACTTTAATATAATTTTTGTTAAATTTTTGTGTGTTTTAGCTGGCAACACTGGCTCGATCATGAAAGGGAAGCCAGTATTTAAACGAGGCTTAATTTTCTAATTATGAGTGGTTGTTTGTTTTGTGAGCAATAAAATAATTTTAAAATAATTTTTAACGATACAATAGCGACGATTATTATTTTAAAAAAAATTTGTTAGGCTTAACATTGATGAAAATTCAACGCAAAGTAGGTTAATGATATACTAATATACTAATTACATTTAACTAATTAATAGCGATATACTAATATACTATACTAATAATGTATATTTTCATTATTTTCGGTTATCCGATTTTTTCAGTTATCCGACCAACCCGAGTCCCCAATTGAGTCGGATAATCGATGCTCTACTGTAGTTATGAAAGATTGCATTAATTTTAATTGCCGTTATTCAAAACTCATTGAGCTTTATAATTCAAAATATTCAAAGATTAACATATAGTTTCACATAATATATAATTTTAAATCATTTCAATTTATACATGCTTATTTTCAAGACTCAAAAATGCAAAAAATAAATTTTAAATTGAACAGTATTTAAATTATCATCAACTTAGCATTATATTTTTTCTCATTTGTAAGCAGACTTTCAGAAAATAAATAAACAATTTTTAACTAAGCACAGAATAAAATCACAAATTAAAAAATATAATAAGTTTTTATTATATAATATACAAACTTTAGAATTGAAATAAGTAGAGAATATTGAAATCTGTACAGATCTACTGTTTGTACAGCATTCAATTGAATGCCTAGGCAAAGCATATATTTGTATTTATTTCCTACTTTGCTGGTAACATATATAAACTTTTTCTAAAAATTTTAACATTAAAAACTTAATTTTTATTTAAAATATATAATTAGAAATATTCAAGTGATTCCATGAGCTTCCTGCATTTCTATACATGTTTTGTCATTGATTATTTGGACACATTAATATATTTAATCAATATTAATTTTAAATTGTTATACAAAAATTTCCATAAACAGTTTAGTCTCTTTTAATAATCTGGAATCATGCTTCAAGTTTAGTCTCTTATTTTTTATTCAAGAATCGATTTAATTCTGAGATCAATTTTAGTTTACTTAATTAATAATAAATATGTAATATTGACTATTTTATATAGTTCCTACAGATGCAAAAATAACTGAAGGAAAAAAGCCTCGTGATATTGAAGATGAAGGACTCTATGTAGGAAAATATCCCAGTATTACATCACATAATATTAGAAAATTGGAAAATAGATTTTTAAAACAGCAAGTATGTTTATTAAAAATACTTCAACTAATTTTTTTTAGTTTTATGTTAATAATTTTTGTTCTGTTTTTAAGGATAAAAAATGGTTTGGAGATAATGGTAAAATAACAATGCAACCAGATCCATGTAAAAAAGTCCCTAGTAGGCCTTTGCCACTAATCAAGCAAAATGAAAACTTGGAATCAACTTACAGAAAAGTATGAATAAGAACTTTAATAATAATAATAATAATTTAAAATGTTTAATGTTAGTTAAGATTGTATAGTAATAAAAATTTAATTAGAATATGAGTAAAAATATATTTAAGATTTTCTTGATAAAAACACTTGGATAATTAAAAATAAATTAACAAGTTTAAATAATTGTTTTATAAATTCACTTAAACAATTTACAAAGTTAAATTATTTGATTGAGATATTTTAAACCCTAATTATTCAATATTAATATAAATACTAAATAGTATAATATAGATGTAATTAATACTTATTAATAAACTCAATTTATTTAGAATTATTTATTTCTTAGGCAATAGTTGAAAATAAAGAAAATTGGCTTTTTGACAGACATAAAAATCCCGAGATTTGGCACCAACTCGATATTGACATTTGCAGCATTTCGTTTAATCATCATTCATTATTCAGTAAAGAACATGTTCTGGTTGCGAGATTAGTAGAATTAGTTAAAAGTTATAATGGATATCTTTTAACTGATAAGGGAGTATCTTTATCCCAAAGGGTATATATATTTATTTATTTTCTTTATTATTATTTTTTTCTATTTATTTATATTATATTCATATAATTATATATGATTTAAAAAGAAATAAAATAATACAGTAAAACCTGTCCAAAATGGTAACTTCTCTAAGTGGAAAATATCCTTTGAAATGGGACGGTATTTTGTATTAAATTTTATTATAAGCCAAGAACCTGTCCATCATGAAATGGAAGAGGTTTTTGCATATGAAGAATGTAACTTAATCTGGATGAAATGGAAAATTATGATTCTACTTGTAGACAAATAAGTAAAATCACTTCCAGGTATAACAGTCACTGCAGAGCATGACAAACTATGTTCCAAGAACAATTTTGAACCTTACCTTGTCAGAGAAATGAAAGTCATATGACGAGGAGCCAAATGGACAGTCTTTGTTAGAATTAACCATAGGCAGAATTGAAAATACTTTCACAAATTTTCAAGAATTGAATGAGTTTCCAAAAACCAAATTCTTGAAAATAAACTACAAATGTAATTTGTTAAAATAACAAATAAGGTGATATAGCACTCCTAATGCCTTATATGGAGTAGTTAATAACTAACTAGTAATGGGTATTTGAAAACAAGTTGATTAGCATGTTGATAATTAGAAATTGAAGTAATGATTAATTTTAAAATTTCTTGAGAAACCAGATCACTTAATATTGGTCTTTGTATTACTAAGTGCAATTAGAATTTCCAACTGCAGAACAATACTTGAATTGGCTTAATCACTATTGTGTGAGCTTATGAGGATCATATATGAGAAGTATTCAAATACCTAGTAAAAGTTCCTGGAAACAACTATTTTGAACTATTTAGAACTATTTTGAATAGTTCTCAATTCTTGCATTTGAATACTTCTATCTTCAGTTGGAATCACTTTGGATTAATTGAATTAATTCTAACAAAGATTCTCTGTCCAATTGGGATTAAGCTTAGTAATAAAATTTTTTGCATATGTAAAAATTATTTTACTGTAAAAAATGAATATAACTATGTGATATTTATCGCATGTAATTTAAAGATAAAAAAAGAAAAAATACTAAAATCTGTTTAAAATAGAAATCTCTCTAAAGGGAAAATATGATTTGGTACTGTGTGATTCCAGTTTACCAAGTTTTACTGTATAAAATTAAGAACAATATTGGAATTAATTAGTTTTGTCTTATTATGTTTATAAATGTTTTATTTCAAAGTATTTCTATTCAGTTGAATATTGAAAGCAATTTTGATGCATGTTAGAGATGTTTGGAAATTTAATCATAATCATGCAATTTAAAGCTTATTAATTTTTTCTTTTCTCATTTTTTACAGACAGCAGAAAATTTAAGTATTAAATCAAACTAAATGCTATGTGCAATTAAGCTTTAAGTTACAATTTTTAATCTTAATTAAGTCAGTATTAAGCAATTTTAAAATTTCTACCGCTATTTTATTTATTAATTAAAAAGTACAAGTATTTATTAGTAATTTAGAGCAACATTTTCCAAATTGGGGTCCAAGGACCCTTGGGTATGCAGACCTGTGCTAGAATGTCTGCAAAATGTTCAGAAAGTACCTAGTACTGTGGGGTTTATTTTCCTAAAAACATATTGATATCTTTACGAAATTCAAACTTGAATTTCAAAACTCTAAACCATTACAAATTTTAAATTTCACATTTTGATTGGTTAGAAAAGATTTTGTTTACTGATGTTGATTATAAAAAATATTGTCATATCAAATCTCACCAGTCACTAAGTCAGAATTGCTATGTACAGTACATATATCCCTGGCTGTAGTTTGTGACATATTGCAACAGTAGGCACTTATCAATCTAAACAGAAATATGTCATTTACATTACAGACTAAATATGGGATTATTAAATGGTTAGAAAATGGTGTAAAGCAGAATGAAGTGTGTGAAGAAGTGGATATGAGTAAACCAACAATTGCTACTATTTGGAAGGAGAAAGACAGAATTATACCAGTTTCATATTTGGTAATTCAAATGCTATAATGCTCAGAAAATCAGCATATGATGAAATTAAATTTGTAAGTGCTATATCAGCTTTTCTTTATTTCTAGGCTTATTATACCTTCATTCAGTAAAGACTAGCTTTAGAAAATCACATTTTCTAAAGGTAGTCTTTACTGAATGGTGCTATAATTAATAAACTTTTGAAGAGGAGTGTGAACAAATGATTAAAAAAAAAAAAATGTTTAAGATGTGCTCCCTCTGCAGTTACCAGGCACATTTTTGGAATTCAGTTTTGAAGAATATGTCTGGATTGATGACACTTGTTATAGGGAACTTTTGACTGATAATGATATTGTAGCTTCAATGCCTTTAAAAATAATAGAATTTGTGAGAATGAAAAGAAGATAACGATAAAGCTTATGATGATGATGTTGACATACTGATAATATCTGTTTTCAAAGTTATACAGAATACTGTTATTATATGAGAGTTTGTACAAACACCTAAAACTTGAAAAAATATTTTAAACAGTTTTTTACTAAGATGGGAATGTATAATATCAGATGAGTTATTTTTGTTCTGGATAATGAGGGGACCAAATAAGAGTCAACATCATTGTTTGACAATGATTTATTTATGATCATGTCTCAAAAGTTTTTCAATACAAATTGATTATTGCAACAATATTTATTTAGCATTCATCCAAAAAAATCATAGTTATTGGAATTCAAAATTTTCTTTGGATACAACAGATGGAGGGACTTGACAATTTCTTGTTCAGTTGTGATAATGTAATCCCTAATTTAGCCTAACTTAAACTAATTATATGTAAGAGAATAGAAATAAAAAAGGGAGGAAAGAAGGAAAGTTAAGTGGAAAGAAGTATTTCTAAAAACCCAAATGGTGGGAGAGGGTCTGTACAATTTCAGGGAATCTTGCTCACTTATCAGTAAGTTAAGAACAGCACAGTATTGGCTGATTGAAGTGCTGTTGGTGAATACTCAAAATTTATAATTTTTTTATTTTCTTATTGTTTCACTACTCTTTAAGCTATCAAGATCAAGTCCTATGTTATATCCTTTCTCCTAATCTGTCAAATATGATCTCAAGCCTTTGTCCAGCACACACATTATTCCTTTGATTCCTCTATATGTAATATGAGGTACAGTCAAAAAGTTGGGGAACTGGTCCAATAAAAAATGTCTGACATATATGTTAATTTATTGAGAGTTGTCATCTTCAAAATAAGTTCCTTCTGCAGCTATACAAAGATTCCAGCACTCCAGCACTCCAAAGATTTCAAAACACTCCTGGAACTTTTTTTTGTGACATTGTTAAGCACTTGCAATGATTCTGTTTCAATGTCATCAATATTCTCAAATCACTGTCTTTTCATTACTTTTTTCAGCCATGGAAATAGAAAAAAGTCATATGGTGCTAAGTCTGGTGAATAAGAAGGTCAGGGATCCATGACTATTTTATTTTTGGTGAGAAACTTATCAAACAGAGATAGCTCTGTGAGTTGAGGTGTTGTCATGAAGCAACAACCAGTTCTGAGCTTTCCAAAGATCTGGTCTTTTTCATCTGACATTTTTATGCAGGTGCCTCAAAACATCCATATAAAACTTTTGATTCACAGTTTGGCATTGTGTAACAAATTCTCAAAGAATAATTCTTTTTCTATCAAAGAAAAAACAATGAGCATGCTCTTGAGATTGGCATGCTTTCTTTGGTTTGAGTGAGCCATGATTTTTCTACTGAGTCAAATGTTGTATGGTCTCAGGGTTAGAGCCATAAATCTATGTTTTGTCTCCTGCAATCACTTTCTTTTCTGTTGCAGCCTTGCCCAAGTTTGAAACAAAATTTCACACACGCATGCTATTCCTTAAAAGAATTCATTTTTAAAAGCAATGAAAATCACAAATCGACAAGAACATGGATCTAATATAAATAGCAAGAAACAAAAACTACAAATGATAATGGCAGAAAGTTTGGCAGGAAACTAAATAATGTTGTCTAGTACACATCCTAGTTCACGCAAGTTTAACATGTGGCACCACAATTGGCCACATGTTCATCAGTCCCAGAACTTTTTGACTGTACCTCATATATATCCTTCACTTCCACTCCTGTTGTATTTATTCCTTATTCCTTTAGGCAATAAACTAGTAAGACAAAACAAAGAGAGGGGTTTGACAGACAAAAACATGAAAATAAAGACTAGTATATTGTAAAAAATTCTACAAAATATAAATTATAACTAAAATATAGTAAAAAAAAAAAAATGATATGTGACTATCATAACAAAACATTATGTAACTAACAAAAATCAACTAAATGGACTTCTTTATGTAAATATGTTCTTTGATACTTCCTATGTTGTAATATACAATTTTATCTTTGACTGACATTAAACTTTAGTTTTCAAAAATTAAGCTGTGTATAACAAACATCAGTTATAATGAACCATTTTTGACAATCTATATATGTTTGTTATAAGCAGACATTACTATATTTAATAAATTATTGTGAGAATATGGGTGAGGGTTAGCTCTCTAGTTGTTGAATTGCAAGACCCACTCACTTTGTCACAGGATGATTATTCAATAAATTGTCGTCGGGATTGCAAGATTCTTCTGACGTCAGGACCTGACACCAGTTAGGAGAGTTAAAAGGTCGCATCCTGACTCGTGAATTGTAAACAAATGTTGAGTAGGAGGATTGATTTGACTGTTGAGTGGAGAGCACAATGGATAAGTTGAGAACGTATTTGTTAGTCCAAGAATGACAGGTCAACAGGTTAACAAAACAAAAACTTTAATAAAACAATAAAGCTGATATATAAACAGTTAGTTATAGGGGTAGTATAAGCTTATATCTAAAATTCTATATCTACTGACTCTATCCTAAATCTAGGTCATCGAAAGAGAGTTTACATCAAGTAGTTAATTATCATACCTCTGTCGTATCTGGTGATAGAATATTGGTCAAGGCTTGGAAAGATATTTGCATATAGCATAAAATTTATAAGGACGATCCTTTGAGGACTATATGGTGAGACACCTCCCTATGGTCGTTTCCTAAGTATGTCTGCCCGTTATATACCCATCTAGCATGGAAATTTGGTCTCGTGACCACTTGTTGGCAGTGGTGACACCTGCAAATGTGTCATCACCGGACAAGGAAGTTCAAACAAATTGACTCATAGGTCTCCTGTTTCTTTTGTTTGGTTTTAGATTCTCCTGGTGGACCTCATTAACTAACAACTTTCTCATGATTAGCGATGGATTGTTTAATATATTTCTGAACCATTGTCTGGTCAATGTGATGGGGAAGGGATTGTTGTGAAAACCCTCTCTTTAACACAATTGTCTTAGTTGTTTACTGTTAAAATGAACACCTGCTCATTTGTTTTCTAATTGCTGTGGGAATGGATGAATTTCTAAATTAATGCGTTTTTCGTTAAAATTTTACAAGAGAATAGCCCTCAGATCCTCACATTATGTAACCAAAACATCAATTTATTTTCAGTTTTTAATGGAAAGTATTTAGAATTGCATAAATGTTTATATTCCAGTATTGTTTAATTCAAACATTCTGCAAAATTTCATATTAACCCAGCTAAAAATTTAAATAAAGTTACATAATGCTTTTATATGATAAACATAAAAAGTGTTTCATATGTAAATGTCTTAATCTTAATTGTATAGTCTTATGATTTAAATTAAGATTCTGTCAGAAAAGTAGATTTTTAGGCTGAAAATGTGTATGCTACTATTAAAAATAATTTCATAAAATATAAAATATTTCAATGACAAAAAGACATTTTTCTTTTGACATTTATTTAGTTAAAAAATGCTATTTTCATTTAAATTACTGTATATGTATTTTTAATATAATCTTAATTAATGTGTTTTAGATATTTTATATATGAGAATGAGTATAATAAACATTTTTGATTATAATAAAATACCATAGCAAAATGATTAAATGAATGTTTTTGCTTTTTAAATTTAATGTAGAATCAACATATAAAAATATTTAATTGTTTGAGTCTTTCTCTGTTAATTTCATTGGGAATAAAAAATGTTCATGTCATAACTTTTAGTTTCAGTTCTAAGCTTATATAAACAATAAATATATTTAATTTTTTAATGAATGATTTTTTCCTCCTATGAATTTCAAAGATATAAAAGATTAGCAAAGATGAATTTCTTTGTTTAGATGTTTTCCTCTTCTTACAAACATATGTAACTGCATAAAAATTATATATAATATTTTATTGATAAAATTCCAAACAGAATTTTTTAGAAGTTTTATTTAAGATATATCACTTTTAAGTGAATATAATTTTTTTATAATTTATAAGATGTATTCAAATAAAATTCAAACAAAAAACTAAAATCTTACATTAATGTTAATTACCATATTTTTCAATGTAGTCCTCTCTTTTGTAGTACATTCGTGCCATCAATGGACAGCTTCCAGATTCCCCATAAGAAGTCTTTTGGCTGCAGACATTTTCTTGAATAGCTTCAATTACTTCTTGATAGGAGGTAAATGGATGAGAATTGGGTATACAGAGCAGCAGACAATAAATGCAAACAATCACTCAAACTTCTTGGCAGAACCAGTGAAAACAGCTTTTCAAAACAAGAGGAAAAAGTTAATCTTCTGTCTGCTTCTTGTAGGACAATGCCCATCTGCATATCACACCATAGCAACAATTCAGAAATTAAAATTCTGTACTCTTCTTTCCCATTCTCCATATAGTCGCAATCTTGCCTCATTGGACTTCCACCTATTTGGACTGTTCAAAGAATTTTAGGTGGAAAGAAGCTTACATCTAATGAAGAAATAATCAAAACTAAGAATGGGTACATCTGCAGCCGAAAGATGACTTCTTACAGGGAATCCAGAAGCTACCCATTGACACCAGAAGCTACCAACCAATGACACCAATGTGTTGCAACAAAAATGGTCACATTGAAAAATAAGGTAATAAACATCAATGTATGATTTTTGTTTTTGTTTAATTATCAAATGAAGGGTTTGGTGGAAAAATGGTGTAGTCCATATTAGGAAAAAATTCTCTTTTTTCAAGAAAAAAGAGAATTTGTACTTGCCAGCACTTCAATATGCAATGTTTTATTAATAAGAGTGTACAGCTTGTGAGACATGACTGAACTGTGAAAGTTTCTAAGAAGATGGATTAATGATACACAAATTCAAATTTATTACTGTAATGATTAGTTTATATGTAGCTTTGGAGGATATGCTATTTTTCTACCAAGTCCCACAAATTATAATTTATATGTGAAAATGTCTCAAATGTAACTGATACAGACTTATTGTAAAACTTGTATGACGATTCAATCAATGAATATTTGATATTTTATAAATTATTCTTATAATGTTTTTTAATTATTATGTTTAAATTAATATGTTTTGTCATTTTTTATATTTAACAATTTATTATAAAAATGAATTAATTTACTATAATAAATATATGAGTAATTTTTTTTAGTTACAAGCATTAAGATCTGCAGTAAACCAATTAAAACAAATGAATAAACAAGATGAAGATAACAGAATTTCAGAAGAAAGAGAGGAACGATTATGCCATTATCAAGAAGATATTAAGTATAAAATCTTTTTCTCTAATCAATTTATAATTGTAATTTATATTACGATAAGTACACAATTGAAATTTAGAATAGTTTTAAAAAAATGTAGTAAAAATAATTACTCTTCTAAAATTTCTTACATTAAATATTCAATAGAACATCATTGGAATAAAAGGATTATGATTATAAGTCTAAATTTTTCTAAACTAGTTGCTATAATTTATATAAATATATAAGGATAATAAAATGACAAAACACTATAATTACTGTTTTTTTAAATAGTAGATATTATATGCAGATATAGTTTAAAATCACAAAAGATCACAAAATTTTTTTTGCAGCAGAAAACATTACATTTATGCAATATTTTCTGTTTCAAAAAAATATTATGGTGCTAGTGGTGATTAACTTTGTGATAATATTGTCCATCATTTTGAAAATGTAAAAGAAAGCATACAAAATTAAGCATAAAATAGATCTCCAAATGATCGCCTAAATATCGGGCTATTATATGGCTACTTAAATTATTAGAAATAAAGCAATTTGTCATAAGAGGTAGGCGTTAGGCGCCATCTCGTAAGTAAATTAATAATTAAAATTAAATAAATAATTAAATTAAATTTAGAACCTTCTGGAATAAAATTATGGAATTATGACAAATTGCTTTATTTCTAATCATTTAAGTAGCCATATAATAGCCCGATATTTAGGCGATTGTTTGGAGATTTAGTATGTATACTGTTTGGGCTTTGTGTTGTTGTTATGCATAAAATAGAGTCTTTGGATTATAAATTTTTGAGTTAGCAAAATATAATATCAATATTTTCACTTATAGAATACACAGAATCTGTAGGAGTTTTAAGTCAGGACAAAAATAAAATTTGAGTTTAGGAAGTTTAACTTATTGAAAGTCTCTATATTAAAAATTTTTGTTTTTGAATAAAAATATCATTTAGCATTGCTGAAATAAGTATAGAATGAAAAGCTGTATAATATAAAACAAAATAATTTATATCTTACATATTCTGTATATTTTATTGAATTAAATATCAATACTATCTTAGCATATCATTATAAATTCTTACATTGATGAAATTTTTGTATACTTGTATCATATATTAAACTAATTTTATACTAATATTTATTTGAATTATTATTTCAAATAATAATGTTTATTTAATAATTTTAAGTCTCTTAAACTTAAATCTTTTAAAAAAAATTCAAATTTTATTATTTTACAGAAAAATTTGTGTTGGATTTGTAAGTGTTTAAAAATTTTTATTCAAAACAAAGCATTCTGAAAGAAAATGCAGCAGAAACCCTATTTAATCTTTTTCCAGGGAACAGCAGATATCAGCCTAAAATTGAGATAAACTTAGAATAGAAGTTTTAGGAATTGACAATAAAAATCAATTGTGATGAATGAAATTAATATTTCTATATAATAATCTCTTCTGTTATTTCTCTCATATAAAAATTTAATGGTAACATCTTTAAATTCATATTATACCAGATTATGAAAATGAATGGCATGATAGCAACAATAATGTTAATAATAAAGTACAGTGGGTGATCGGTTAACGAACATAATCCATTCCAAGACTTTGTTCGCTATCCGAATTGTTTGTTAACCGATTATCGATTTAACATAGGTTTCTATGGGAATTTGATTAATTTGTTCTGGAGACCCCCAAAAATAAAAAAAGTATATACTTTTTTACTACGTTTATTCATATGTAATAATAAAAATACATATATACACGGTCTTGCATTTTTATTAGTCATGTTTTTTCTGTTTGTGGGGGTTAAAGAATCTATCCAATGTCAATTGCTTTTCTGTCTTATTCATGATTTTTCAGAAGTAATTAATAGCATTGTAATTGTAGAGATCCCTAGGCCTATTAACCTCAACTTGATTTGGATGCCATTCTAAGACCGTTGTTCTGACATCCTCCTACTTCTTCAAAAGATCTTTAATAGCAGAAATCGGCATAAATCCGCATTTTCAGAAGAAAACGTAAAAGAATTGTTTTTGTCAGAAATACAAAAGGCTGGAATTACAAGGGAGAGTTTCAAAGTTCGGGGGAATACTATCCGATCAGTATATACTGGGTAGAACGTCGATGTCGACGTCTCCCGCGCTTCGAAAAGTTTCGAATTGTTGCCTGAAGACAAAGGAAGACCAATCGGTATTCGTTATTTTACGTCGCTTCTTGTGTTTGTTCAGTGAAGTGTTCGTTATCCGAACATATGTTCGTTGTCCGATCATAAAAATCTTTCGCGAAAGTGTTCGTTGTCCGATTTGTTCGTTATCCGATCTGTTCGTTAACCGATCACCCACTGTATATGCAATAGAGTTTTTATTGTGCAATTTTATTATAGTTTGATTACATTTATAAACATTAATATAAGAATGCAATAATATCAATTATTGATGGCCAGATGATTAACAGTAAGGTGGCAGTCTATCACTGTAGGTTTATGGAATCAAATCCAGATATTTGAAAAAATAACAGTAATTTTTTAGATGTTGATCTGTCTGAATATGTCAGGTCCCATTCCACACCATCTGGTCACTTATTGTGGGCCTGGCCAAACACTTAATGGGTTTGATAAAAAAGACCTTTTTGGTGCCCATGGGGCAGAAAGGGTTAAAAATAAAGTTACAATTATTGATATTCATTATATAGTATCATGTAATGCAAAATTAGTCATTAATTCTGTCTCTTTTTTGCTTGCAAGTTGCATGATAGTGCAGCAAGAAAAATTAAGACACAGAAAGCACCCTTTTATCCTATGTACATTAAATTGAAATCACTTCTAAGTGTGTAGTTAAAAAATTTGCTCCTTAAAATTAAAGTTTAAAATAAAACTGAAAAATACTAAATTGAAGTTTAAATTTTGTTTTTATGGAGGAAGAGAGGCAAGAACAATTAAAATTAAATGTGTAATCAGGGTTAATGTTAAGTTGAAAAACATTAAAATGGGATTCTTCTGTATAATTTGACATTAGTGTGTAATTTGAAATTAAGGAATTGTAATTATGTATATAAGAAATAGTTTTTAACGTTAAAAACCATTAATGTTTTCAACGAGTGAAAGATTTTTTTATACGCATTGGACAATTCGTGGGGGGAAATATTGAAGAAAAGTCNGGTTACTTTTTGCAATTGTATTTAATTAATTACTAAATAATTTGTCATTAGAGGTAGATCTTTTATTAAATTTACGGAAAAGTAGCCCAATGTAATCCAGTAATGTAAAATAAAAAACTTGCTTTTATTTTTTTTTAAGTATAAATTTATATCAAGCCATATTAATTTAATTTATTTAGCTTTGGTTATTAATTTATTTTTGTACTTGTACTATGAGTTAAAAGGACAACTATTATTTTAAATATAAGCTTTATGTTATGTGTATTTGTTTTATCTTAAATAATTGTAATACAATTGTAATTGAGAAAGTGAGTTATTGCAATTAAAACCGGAGTTATTGTGCTGAATTGACCAAGAAATTAGATAATTGTGAAAGGATCTTGGCTTTCTCAATAATTATGATTATTAAATTGTCATTTTCTAAATTTGGTGAAACAGCTACAGAAAAGATTATTTCTATAAATATAAGAAGCATTTTTCAAATTTTGTGATGTGCAATTTTTATTTATTTTGTGCCAAATCTTACATATTTTTTCTTTTAAATGCACATATGAAAAAATTTTTCAGTTCATTGAGAATTATAATTTTGATGAACTTCAGTTATTGAAGAAATCAGCACATTTTTAGCCATTGACTCATTTGGTGGTCAGATGTTTCTGCATGAGAATAATTTGGCAAATATTGATATAACTTAAAACATACTATAAGCATACTTCTAATTTCATAGACAAACAGCATTCAATATTGCTGCTTCTGATGATTATTATGTCAAATAACAAAACACAGGTTAATATTTGAAAAATAAATTAAATATTTATTTAACTGTAACTCAAAAGATTGCATTGTTATATAAAAATTTTATTGAAGTAATAGTATAATTTTCATCTTTGCAATTTCATGTATGTCTTTTATTTAAATGCAGTAAAATATGACAAGGAGAACTTTACAAAATAGTTAAATATAAATTATTATAGAATATAAATTTCATGTTTTTAATTGCACTAAATGTTTTTCTTAAAATTGCTGTAAATATCAATACAGTAGAGCATTGATTATCCGACCCCCCAATTAACTGTCACATCAGTTAACCGATCGTTCTAGTTGGCAAATTTCAAGTGTCTACTAGTGATGTGGCGCTACAATATTTGGCTATGTCTTGGCTACTTTAATATAATTTTTGTTAAATTTTTGTGTGTTTTAGCTGGCAACACTGGCTCGATCATGAAAGGGAAGCCAGTATTTAAACGAGGCTTAATTTTCTAATTATGAGTGGTTGTTTGTTTTGTGAGCAATAAAATAATTTTAAAATAATTTTTAACGATACAATAGCGACGATTATTATTTTAAAAAAAATTTGTTAGGCTTAACATTGATGAAAATTCAACGCAAAGTAGGTTAATGATATACTAATATACTAATTACATTTAACTAATTAATAGCGATATACTAATATACTATACTAATAATGTATATTTTCATTATTTTCGGTTATCCGATTTTTTCAGTTATCCGACCAACCCGAGTCCCCAATTGAGTCGGATAATCGATGCTCTACTGTAGTTATGAAAGATTGCATTAATTTTAATTGCCGTTATTCAAAACTCATTGAGCTTTATAATTCAAAATATTCAAAGATTAACATATAGTTTCACATAATATATAATTTTAAATCATTTCAATTTATACATGCTTATTTTCAAGACTCAAAAATGCAAAAAATAAATTTTAAATTGAACAGTATTTAAATTATCATCAACTTAGCATTATATTTTTTCTCATTTGTAAGCAGACTTTCAGAAAATAAATAAACAATTTTTAACTAAGCACAGAATAAAATCACAAATTAAAAAATATAATAAGTTTTTATTATATAATATACAAACTTTAGAATTGAAATAAGTAGAGAATATTGAAATCTGTACAGATCTACTGTTTGTACAGCATTCAATTGAATGCCTAGGCAAAGCATATATTTGTATTTATTTCCTACTTTGCTGGTAACATATATAAACTTTTTCTAAAAATTTTAACATTAAAAACTTAATTTTTATTTAAAATATATAATTAGAAATATTCAAGTGATTCCATGAGCTTCCTGCATTTCTATACATGTTTTGTCATTGATTATTTGGACACATTAATATATTTAATCAATATTAATTTTAAATTGTTATACAAAAATTTCCATAAACAGTTTAGTCTCTTTTAATAATCTGGAATCATGCTTCAAGTTTAGTCTCTTATTTTTTATTCAAGAATCGATTTAATTCTGAGATCAATTTTAGTTTACTTAATTAATAATAAATATGTAATATTGACTATTTTATATAGTTCCTACAGATGCAAAAATAACTGAAGGAAAAAAGCCTCGTGATATTGAAGATGAAGGACTCTATGTAGGAAAATATCCCAGTATTACATCACATAATATTAGAAAATTGGAAAATAGATTTTTAAAACAGCAAGTATGTTTATTAAAAATACTTCAACTAATTTTTTTTAGTTTTATGTTAATAATTTTTGTTCTGTTTTTAAGGATAAAAAATGGTTTGGAGATAATGGTAAAATAACAATGCAACCAGATCCATGTAAAAAAGTCCCTAGTAGGCCTTTGCCACTAATCAAGCAAAATGAAAACTTGGAATCAACTTACAGAAAAGTATGAATAAGAACTTTAATAATAATAATAATAATTTAAAATGTTTAATGTTAGTTAAGATTGTATAGTAATAAAAATTTAATTAGAATATGAGTAAAAATATATTTAAGATTTTCTTGATAAAAACACTTGGATAATTAAAAATAAATTAACAAGTTTAAATAATTGTTTTATAAATTCACTTAAACAATTTACAAAGTTAAATTATTTGATTGAGATATTTTAAACCCTAATTATTCAATATTAATATAAATACTAAATAGTATAATATAGATGTAATTAATACTTATTAATAAACTCAATTTATTTAGAATTATTTATTTCTTAGGCAATAGTTGAAAATAAAGAAAATTGGCTTTTTGACAGACATAAAAATCCCGAGATTTGGCACCAACTCGATATTGACATTTGCAGCATTTCGTTTAATCATCATTCATTATTCAGTAAAGAACATGTTCTGGTTGCGAGATTAGTAGAATTAGTTAAAAGTTATAATGGATATCTTTTAACTGATAAGGGAGTATCTTTATCCCAAAGGGTATATATATTTATTTATTTTCTTTATTATTATTTTTTTCTATTTATTTATATTATATTCATATAATTATATATGATTTAAAAAGAAATAAAATAATACAGTAAAACCTGTCCAAAATGGTAACTTCTCTAAGTGGAAAATATCCTTTGAAATGGGACGGTATTTTGTATTAAATTTTATTATAAGCCAAGAACCTGTCCATCATGAAATAGAAGAGGTTTTTGCATATGAAGAATGTAACTTAATCTGGATGAAATGGAAAATTATGATTCTACTTGTAGACAAATAAGTAAAATCACTTCCAGGTATAACAGTCACTGCAGAGCATGACAAACTATGTTCCAAGAACAATTTTGAACCTTACCTTGTCAGAGAAATGAAAGTCATATGACGAGGAGCCAAATGGACAGTCTTTGTTAGAATTAACCATAGGCAGAATTGAAAATACTTTCACAAATTTTCAAGAATTGAATGAGTTTCCAAAAACCAAATTCTTGAAAATAAACTACAAATGTAATTTGTTAAAATAACAAATAAGGTGATATAGCACTCCTAATGCCTTATATGGAGTAGTTAATAACTAACTAGTAATGGGTATTTGAAAACAAGTTGATTAGCATGTTGATAATTAGAAATTGAAGTAATGATTAATTTTAAAATTTCTTGAGAAACCAGATCACTTAATATTGGTCTTTGTATTACTAAGTGCAATTAGAATTTCCAACTGCAGAACAATACTTGAATTGGCTTAATCACTATTGTGTGAGCTTATGAGGATCATATATGAGAAGTATTCAAATACCTAGTAAAAGTTCCTGGAAACAACTATTTTGAACTATTTAGAACTATTTTGAATAGTTCTCAATTCTTGCATTTGAATACTTCTATCTTCAGTTGGAATCACTTTGGATTAATTGAATTAATTCTAACAAAGATTCTCTGTCCAATTGGGATTAAGCTTAGTAATAAAATTTTTTGCATATGTAAAAATTATTTTACTGTAAAAAATGAATATAACTATGTGATATTTATCGCATGTAATTTAAAGATAAAAAAAGAAAAAATACTAAAATCTGTTTAAAATAGAAATCTCTCTAAAGGGAAAATATGATTTGGTACTGTGTGATTCCAGTTTACCAAGTTTTACTGTATAAAATTAAGAACAATATTGGAATTAATTAGTTTTGTCTTATTATGTTTATAAATGTTTTATTTCAAAGTATTTCTATTCAGTTGAATATTGAAAGCAATTTTGATGCATGTTAGAGATGTTTGGAAATTTAATCATAATCATGCAATTTAAAGCTTATTAATTTTTTCTTTTCTCATTTTTTACAGACAGCAGAAAATTTAAGTATTAAATCAAACTAAATGCTATGTGCAATTAAGCTTTAAGTTACAATTTTTAATCTTAATTAAGTCAGTATTAAGCAATTTTAAAATTTCTACCGCTATTTTATTTATTAATTAAAAAGTACAAGTATTTATTAGTAATTTAGAGCAACATTTTCCAAATTGGGGTCCAAGGACCCTTGGGTATGCAGACCTGTGCTAGAATGTCTGCAAAATGTTCAGAAAGTACCTAGTACTGTGGGGTTTATTTTCCTAAAAACATATTGATATCTTTACGAAATTCAAACTTGAATTTCAAAACTCTAAACCATTACAAATTTTAAATTTCACATTTTGATTGGTTAGAAAAGATTTTGTTTACTGATGTTGATTATAAAAAATATTGTCATATCAAATCTCACCAGTCACTAAGTCAGAATTGCTATGTACAGTACATATATCCCTGGCTGTAGTTTGTGACATATTGCAACAGTAGGCACTTATCAATCTAAACAGAAATATGTCATTTACATTACAGACTAAATATGGGATTATTAAATGGTTAGAAAATGGTGTAAAGCAGAATGAAGTGTGTGAAGAAGTGGATATGAGTAAACCAACAATTGCTACTATTTGGAAGGAGAAAGACAGAATTATACCAGTTTCATATTTGGTAATTCAAATGCTATAATGCTCAGAAAATCAGCATATGATGAAATTAAATTTGTAAGTGCTATATCAGCTTTTCTTTATTTCTAGGCTTATTATACCTTCATTCAGTAAAGACTAGCTTTAGAAAATCACATTTTCTAAAGGTAGTCTTTACTGAATGGTGCTATAATTAATAAACTTTTGAAGAGGAGTGTGAACAAATGATTAAAAAAAAAAAAATGTTTAAGATGTGCTCCCTCTGCAGTTACCAGGCACATTTTTGGAATTCAGTTTTGAAGAATATGTCTGGATTGATGACACTTGTTATAGGGAACTTTTGACTGATAATGATATTGTAGCTTCAATGCCTTTAAAAATAATAGAATTTGTGAGAATGAAAAGAAGATAACGATAAAGCTTATGATGATGATGTTGACATACTGATAATATCTGTTTTCAAAGTTATACAGAATACTGTTATTATATGAGAGTTTGTACAAACACCTAAAACTTGAAAAAATATTTTAAACAGTTTTTTACTAAGATGGGAATGTATAATATCAGATGAGTTATTTTTGTTCTGGATAATGAGGGGACCAAATAAGAGTCAACATCATTGTTTGACAATGATTTATTTATGATCATGTCTCAAAAGTTTTTCAATACAAATTGATTATTGCAACAATATTTATTTAGCATTCATCCAAAAAAATCATAGTTATTGGAATTCAAAATTTTCTTTGGATACAACAGATGGAGGGACTTGACAATTTCTTGTTCAGTTGTGATAATGTAATCCCTAATTTAGCCTAACTTAAACTAATTATATGTAAGAGAATAGAAATAAAAAAGGGAGGAAAGAAGGAAAGTTAAGTGGAAAGAAGTATTTCTAAAAACCCAAATGGTGGGAGAGGGTCTGTACAATTTCAGGGAATCTTGCTCACTTATCAGTAAGTTAAGAACAGCACAGTATTGGCTGATTGAAGTGCTGTTGGTGAATACTCAAAATTTATAATTTTTTTATTTTCTTATTGTTTCACTACTCTTTAAGCTATCAAGATCAAGTCCTATGTTATATCCTTTCTCCTAATCTGTCAAATATGATCTCAAGCCTTTGTCCAGCACACACATTATTCCTTTGATTCCTCTATATGTAATATGAGGTACAGTCAAAAAGTTGGGGAACTGGTCCAATAAAAAATGTCTGACATATATGTTAATTTATTGAGAGTTGTCATCTTCAAAATAAGTTCCTTCTGCAGCTATACAAAGATTCCAGCACTCCAGCACTCCAAAGATTTCAAAACACTCCTGGAACTTTTTTTTGTGACATTGTTAAGCACTTGCAATGATTCTGTTTCAATGTCATCAATATTCTCAAATCACTGTCTTTTCATTACTTTTTTCAGCCATGGAAATAGAAAAAAGTCATATGGTGCTAAGTCTGGTGAATAAGAAGGTCAGGGATCCATGACTATTTTATTTTTGGTGAGAAACTTATCAAACAGAGATAGCTCTGTGAGTTGAGGTGTTGTCATGAAGCAACAACCAGTTCTGAGCTTTCCAAAGATCTGGTCTTTTTCATCTGACATTTTTATGCAGGTGCCTCAAAACATCCATATAAAACTTTTGATTCACAGTTTGGCATTGTGTAACAAATTCTCAAAGAATAATTCTTTTTCTATCAAAGAAAAAACAATGAGCATGCTCTTGAGATTGGCATGCTTTCTTTGGTTTGAGTGAGCCATGATTTTTCTACTGAGTCAAATGTTGTATGGTCTCAGGGTTAGAGCCATAAATCTATGTTTTGTCTCCTGCAATCACTTTCTTTTCTGTTGCAGCCTTGCCCAAGTTTGAAACAAAATTTCACACACGCATGCTATTCCTTAAAAGAATTCATTTTTAAAAGCAATGAAAATCACAAATCGACAAGAACATGGATCTAATATAAATAGCAAGAAACAAAAACTACAAATGATAATGGCAGAAAGTTTGGCAGGAAACTAAATAATGTTGTCTAGTACACATCCTAGTTCACGCAAGTTTAACATGTGGCACCACAATTGGCCACATGTTCATCAGTCCCAGAACTTTTTGACTGTACCTCATATATATCCTTCACTTCCACTCCTGTTGTATTTATTCCTTATTCCTTTAGGCAATAAACTAGTAAGACAAAACAAAGAGAGGGGTTTGACAGACAAAAACATGAAAATAAAGACTAGTATATTGTAAAAAATTCTACAAAATATAAATTATAACTAAAATATAGTAAAAAAAAAAAAATGATATGTGACTATCATAACAAAACATTATGTAACTAACAAAAATCAACTAAATGGACTTCTTTATGTAAATATGTTCTTTGATACTTCCTATGTTGTAATATACAATTTTATCTTTGACTGACATTAAACTTTAGTTTTCAAAAATTAAGCTGTGTATAACAAACATCAGTTATAATGAACCATTTTTGACAATCTATATATGTTTGTTATAAGCAGACATTACTATATTTAATAAATTATTGTGAGAATATGGGTGAGGGTTAGCTCTCTAGTTGTTGAATTGCAAGACCCACTCACTTTGTCACAGGATGATTATTCAATAAATTGTCGTCGGGATTGCAAGATTCTTCTGACGTCAGGACCTGACACCAGTTAGGAGAGTTAAAAGGTCGCATCCTGACTCGTGAATTGTAAACAAATGTTGAGTAGGAGGATTGATTTGACTGTTGAGTGGAGAGCACAATGGATAAGTTGAGAACGTATCCGTTAGTCCAAGAATGACAGGTCAACAGGTTAACAAAACAAAAACTTTAATAAAACAATAAAGCTGATATATAAACAGTTAGTTATAGGGGTAGTATAAGCTTACATCTAAAATTCTATATCTACTGACTCTATCCTAAATCTAGGTCATCGAAAGAGAGTTTACATCAAGTAGTTAATTATCATACCTCTGTCGTATCTGGTGATAGAATATTGGTCAAGGCTTGGAAAGATATTTGCATATAG